ATAGTCTTCGGGGAAGAAGCTAAACTGCGGAAGGCGGAACATGTGGCCGCGGTGCGGCGGGTGGAGCATACGGCCGTGGGCCTCGACGTGTGTCGTGGCGCAGGCGAGGAACGCTGCGAGGAGGGCCGTCGACTTGAGCATCGTGCTGGAAATTGGAAAATGAAAGACGATGGCACGCAGAGCGCATTTCTGAGCCGGAGCCTGAGGCTGGATCAATGTGCAGATCCATCGTCCAGTGTCTGGACTACATATGTACCGGTATGAGTGTACCAGTTCGTACCACTGTTTGCATCGAACACATCTGGCGCCATGTCTGACTGGATCTGGCGCCGCGCCACATTGCACTTTGAGATCGGTGCTGTAATGTCTGCCAGAAAGAGCTGCAAGACTCATTCTGGCACGAGGTCGAGTGCAACGAGCTGTGAGTAATGTGAGGCTGCCGATCCAAAACGTCGCACGCGCCCGCCCATTCGAACGTGCAGCGCCGGAGGCCGAGCGCATCTATGCAGTCGGGCGTCGCATCGAACCTGGTGCGTGGATGCACTTGGTATTGGTTCATCCGTGTCTGCCTTCTTCTCCATCCCTCCACGAAGGCTCTCATTATAATGGTCGGCGCCGTGTTCGCGACCGTTCTCGGTCGTGTATCCTGGGTACACATATGAGTACAAGTCGACCATTTGCCAAAGTACTATTATTCCTTGGAGAGAAGTTGTCGACAACAATGCTTGGGCAGGACAGCGAGTGATGACCCATCGCAAGTGCCGCAGCGATAGCCTATTGACAGACGCAGCGATCACTGTACGACCGGCAGCTCGTTCATGCAGCATCGACCACACCTCTCCTCGTCACACGCGGTCTTAGGTTGCTCAGGTTGCACTTGGTCTTGGCTTCCTCGAGGAAGAAAGATCTCGTTCACCAGACTGTTGCGACGGCGGCCTTTCTGCGGCGCCGCTTGGATGTTCCGCCGGCATCGACATGACCACGCTCGTGCGCGCAGTGATTGCGAGTTGATTGCCTCTGGTTCTCCATAAAACGTCTGTGTTCCTCATAATATGCTAATACCACCACATCGAATACCAAGGTGCGGACAGAAGACGACCAGGTGTCAAGGCACAGTGGTGTCTACCACGAGAGACAGCCGTCAACAAGAGGAACAAGAGGTGGGACGTCTGCAACATGTGGAATACCACTGGCGTGCCAGATGTGGTTCGAATTGCAGCGACCGATTCTCTGCCCTTGTCCAAGATCCAGACGACACCAATACTCTTTTCAACTCGACTCATTCTGTCTTTTGCCACAACAACCACACATATGAAGCTCATCGCCACCGCTGCCGTGCTCGCCGCCACCATCTCGCAAACCGAGGCCCACGGGCGCATGGTCATGCCGCCGCACCGCGGCTACATCGGTCGCCTCCCGGCGTTCAAGGACATCCCGATCAACTACAGCGACAACGGTCTCAACGCCGGCGGCATTGGCGGCACCAAGGGCGGCAAGCACGGCGTCTGCGGCGACCCGTTCAACGGCGCGCGCGACCACGAGACGGGCGGCATGTACGGTCTCTTCCCCAAGCTCGGCTCCAAGGCCATCGGCGCGTGCTACAAGCCGGGCCAGACACTGGACCTCAACATCCAGATCACGGCCAACCACAAGGGCTTCTTTGAGTTTGGCATTTGCAAGCTGAACGGCAAGGGCGACAAGGAGACCGAGGAGTGCTTCCAGACGCTGACGCAGCCCAACGGCGAGAAGCAGTGGCCACTTCCGGCAGGCAACGACTTTTTCAAGATGCAGTACAACCTGCCCAAGGACCTCAAGTGCGACGGCGACTCGCACTGCGTGCTGCGCTGGTGGTACGCCGGCGGCAACAACCCGGGCGTCGGCATTGACGGCCAGGAGCAGTTCTGGAACTGCGCCGACATTTACATTAGCGACTCATGCGGCTCGGACCCGAAGCCGTCGCCCAGCAGCCAGAACCCGACACCGGCGCCGAGCAGCAACAAGCCGTCGCCCAGCAGCGACAAGCCGACGCCGTCCACCAAGCCGTCGACCAAGCCCACGACCAAGCCCACGAGCGCGCCGTCGGGCAACGCCAAGAAGCAGTGGGAACAGTGCGGCGGCAAGGGCTACACGGGTGCGACGTCGTGCCAGGACGGTCTCGACTGCTTGAAGCAGGACGAGTGGTACTCGCAGTGCGTGCCGGCCGTTCGCTTTGGCTAAACTATGTGCTGATATTTGTGTCAACAACAACTCGACTACATAATGTAATGAACTGCTTCATGTGTATTCTTTGGTGTTTGAGGTGGAACCTGGGCAATGTGGTGGCCAATCACGTGACGAATACGTGGCGCGTTGAGCTGCGCTTGGAATGCACAACTGCGTTATTTCAGACTGTGACGAATGGTTTTGAGAGAGCTGAAAGTCAGATTAGTGTAGCTAGCTGCCTGCAGATATACTGGTACTAGCCCAAGGTCTAACGTTGGTTGCTCCATTTGTAGTCGTTCTACACTAACCTGAAGTGTTTGAATTGGTAGGCAGATTGGCGTGCGAGCTCGTGCCACGTAGGTCGATTTCTCCCGCATGGGGTAAATGGCCTGCACGCAGCAACCACCGACACCTGCGTCATCCAAAAATACAAAATGGCAAGCATTAAAAGCCGCCACTTTGCCATTATGAGATGACAACTTGCGGTCGTCTACAGCTTGTGGGCTCGAACGACCTTGGCGATCGTGGCGTCAATCCATGCCACGACCTCTTGCGTCGACTCACCTCCGTTGGTGCGGAGCTTGGCAAGATCTTCCTCGACTTCTTGGTCATACCGTCGCAAATTTCTTTGATCGGCGGTGGACGGCGGCGTCGACTTGGGTCGCGGGCGCGGCTTGTGGGTTCCGTGCATGTCGGTGATCTTGAGGTGGTACTTGGTTTTGGCTCCGTCCAACTCGACCCCATTCGCTTCAAAGTGTTGTCGCCACTTGGCGCGGATCGGTGCGAGCGGACTTTCGTCTGCATTCGTGGCATCCTCGGGGTCTTGCCATTCGATGCCCATCAAAAGCGCCTTGTTGAGGCAAATGAGTACGTCGTCGCAGCCGCTAAACATCTGCCGCATCGACTGCATGTCCTTGTCGCTAATGCGCGGCTCCGTGTCGCACGCAAAGAGATGGATACCGATGCTACTGATGCCGTAGAGCTCCTTGACAAAGCGCCGCCGGTGGTCGCTGTCCGAGTCGTTTCCAGGCAAGTCCAGAATGTACACGCGCAGACCAGGATCGGTGTTCTCAGCACCGCGAGGCACATAGGGCCGGAACTCGGGGAACTCGGTGCTGTCGCGCGGCGGGGCGGGTTGGTTGTCGAGGGCGCGCAGAAACCACGACTTGCCAACGTTTTGGTTGCCATTGATGACGATGAAGACGAGGCATTGACAGACTGCGCGGAGGTCTCGGATGGTCCGAAGCACGGCAATGAAGCTGTCGACGAGGCGTTGGTTGGCAGGGTCGGTGGCCTTTAGGCGGGTCGTCTTGGTGAGCGTTTCCTCAATGGCTTGTGCACTTGCGTCGCCGTCGCCAATCGACACGTTCGTGGCCAACGCGATGGCTCTCAGATGGTGCACGTACGCGCTTCCGGTTTCTTTGTACGCCTCGGACCGCACTCGGATCGCCGCGTCGGGTGCGGCGACATCGACTTGGTGGCGCGCGTAGGTCAGCGCGAGGTACGGGCTTCGCGCTGACGCAGGCGGCATCGAGGGACGCGTTGTAGCCGAGGGCATGGCATACAGCTCGGCAGACCCCGCGGGCATCTTTGGGCCAAAGAGCAACATGAAAGCTGGGGCCAACGCTACCGCTGCTGCCGCACCAAAGACGACAAACGTCATCAGAGCGATCATTGGAAAAAGAGCCACCCCTAAGAGAGCTCTCGCTTTGATGTTTGCCCAAAGACTCTGAGGCTCGGCCAAGTGGCTCGCAGAGAGGACGGACGCGGTGAAGATCGAGAGACTGTTCATGTCGGCTGTAATGTTGTCGTCGTTGAGCCTGTTCCACGTGCCCGCCTCATCCGTCCCGCGGTCTTTGATCGCGGCCAGGCGCGCTGCAAAGCCCGTCCAGCCTTGCATGTCTTTGGCGACTGTAACTGCGACGTCAATCGTCGCGTCGTTGGCCTTGGCCAGCGTGTACACAACGGTAAGGTAGGCTTCCAGCGCCCGCACAAATCGACGCAGATTGTCCGAAATCTCTCTCTTGCCGAGGGTCTTGGTCACCACGGCGGCAGACATGGCCTTGTTGAGAAGCACCGCCAAGGAGGCGCTTGACATCTCACTCACCACGAGCGTTGTCGCCGCTGTCATGTACACCTTGTCTTGGAGATCCTCGCCACTCGCTGACGGCGCGGTCACGCCCTGGACGACAAAGGCCACGTATGTGTCTTCGATGCCGTGTTCGCGCACAATTTGGGTGCCGTCGCGAGCAGCGAGGAACGATTCCGAGCGGAAGAGCGCCGCGGGGTCCGTGTCTAGCGTCCAAGTCGACCCACCGCAGACGGACAGGTTGATCCATGCGCCGTAGTACTGATACTCGCTCAGCGACTCAATGCGGTCGTTGATGGCCTGCTGCGACATCTTGTACACGTCGACACCGAGCAAGTTGAAGAGCGCAGTCGTGACGCGATGCTCAGTAAGCAAGGCGTCCCGCACGAGAAGAAGGACGGGACCGACAAAGAGTGCTGGGACCACGTCCGAGTTCGTAAAAAAAAGTGAAAAAACGATTGGCTTCGTCCCCATTCGGTTTATCGCTCTTGAGGAACGGCGTCGACCCAAACGCGACCGAGAGCAATTTGGTCGTGTCGAAGACGTAGCGTGCGTCCGAAATGAGCTCGTAGTGGGCCGTGTGGGCGACACTGCCACCGCGGCTGTGGCCGCATAAAATCACCTTTCGGAGCTCGTCGAAGTCGAGCAAAGCTCGCGCAAGGCGAACGATCCCGAGGGTGCGACCGCCTTTGAGGTACCCGGCGGGTGCGTGGGCGTTCGGGGCAATGCGCTGCGCACAGACCGCCGAATTGGCCAGCATGTCCTCGGACGAGTTGGTGCCTGTGATCGAAACGTAGGCCACGGACGCGATCGTGACCACGATCACGCGGATCTTCTCGTCGTCGTACGCGACGAACGGCCGGTCGCTGGCACCAAGCTGTAGCGTTGTCTTCAGCTTGCTAAGCACGTTGAGCTTGTACTCGGCAAACGTGTCGCCCTGTGTCTTGGCCGTGTACCCAAGCGCTGACAGCTTGAGAGCGGTGTTGAATTCAAACGTCGAGAGCTGCATCTCGTTCAAGTATCGTCACGATGTCTACTCCGACGACGACTCGATTTCGGTATTTCCAGTGAAACCTCCGGCGCAAGCCGTTGGCACCACCCACCATCCAACCATGCCAAGACCATTCATTACCCAAACAGAATGATCGCCAGCACAGCGGCACTCGGGCGGATCGGAACAGTACTACTCAGCACCTCTATGAGGACCACCAACTACTAAAGTGTTGCAATAATTGCTTCGCAAAATGCCGCGTTCGCTCCGACGCGTGTGTGGAGTCTGCAACGAAATTCGAAACATAGCAGCGAAAACTATCTTCTCAACGCGCCACGTATTCGTCACGTGATTGGCCACCACATTGCCCAGGTTCCACCTCAAACACCAAAGAATACACATGAGAACAGTTCATTACATTATGTAGTCGAGTTGTTGTTGACACAAATATCAGCACATAGTTTAGCCAAAGCGAACGGCCGGCACGCACTGCGAGTACCACTCGTCCTGCTTCAAGCAGTCGAGACCGTCCTGGCACGACGTCGCACCCGCGAGTGGCCGCGACGTCACCTCGTCCCGCGGATTGCGCTCCTGCCTCCGCCTGCCTAAATCAAGTCCCTCAACCGAGTACACACAACGAAGAAAGTCCGACAATTTATTTAGCATAGTTTATCTATTGTAATAGAGGACCCAATTCAACA